CTCCGGTCATCCCCTGCACGGTGGCGAGATGACTGCTGTGGGCCAGTGCTCACAGCCAGCTCCATTCTCCTCCCAGCATCCCTTTGTACCCGCAACCTACCACCTTTCGCCACTCACTGCAGCCACTCGTGTGCAAGGGACCTGAACAGCCCATGTGACTCCCAGACATGGGGTTTTAGCCCCCCTGGCCCCAGCTCCTCCACCCAGGTGCTGGGGTCCTTCAGAGCAGCACCCCTCACTTCGGGCCAAACTGATGGAGGTGAGAGACCCTGCTAACACCAAACCCGAAGGGGTGCCCAGTCCCGTGTTTCCCTGCACCTCGATGTGTTTCTTGTAGTCTCTGCTCAAGAGCGACTCCTCCACCCGCTTCATCTTCTCCTGGAAGGACTTCAGCTGGGAATTCAAGGCATCTATTGTCTCCTAGGGCAGCCGAGGAGGGGAAAAAGTGGGAAAGGAGGTGTCTGGGCTTGGATTTCCTCTCAAGCAGGTTGCTGCTTAGTTACAGGAAGACGATGCCCCAATAACCCCCAGAGCTGGAGGCCAGGTCCCTGGGGCACCCCAGAGACTGAAACAGCTACATAGATGGGGGTGGGTACTGTGGCAGAGCCAGGAGACAGTCCCTCAAGCCCTCCACCAGCATCCCCCCAGGGGATTTCCCTGTTGGTACCTGTAAGGCCTCCTGGGACCTTTGGTGGGACTCTGTCAGCAGCAACTTCTCCTGGTCGTGTGCTCTCCGGAGCTCTGCGGGGACACATGAACCGAGTGTCATGGGCGCAAGGACACCAGAGGAGCCAGCCTGGCCCGCACCCGTGACACCACAGAGCAACGCAGGCACCGCATCCCGCTGCCTGCAGTCCCCGCGGAGTGATGCCAAGCCCCAACACACTGAGGGCACCCGCAGGGCGGCCGGGGTGGAGAACGGGCAGAGACACCAACACGCAGGCTGGGGGAGGCGGAAAGCAGTCCCCTGAAGAGACCGCACGCACCTTGCAGGGTCCCTTCGTGCTCTCTCTTCAAGGCATTGAACAGCTCAGAGAGTTGCTCCTTCAGCTCCAAGTCTTTCCCCTTTTCCACCTGGAAGCCGCAGACAGGATAAACCCTAAGTGTCTGATCCAGTGCAAGGGATGCTCCATCTCTCCTCTCCCCCGGGGGACAGGCTGGGTTGCTATTTTTAGCAACACGTTTCATTTCTCTGCTTATGCGAGCCAGAGGCTGACGTGGGGATACAACGGATGGACGAGTGCTCTCACACACGGTGCAGCCCGGCAGCGTTTGGGGCTTTCTCATGCTCTCGGCACAGCAGCCAGGGCCTGACAAACGGAGACCAGAGCCAGCATGGTCCGCGGCGGTGCATCCCACGCAGCCGCCGCTGGCAGGCCAGCGCAGCTAAGCGGGATAAGGCAGGGTACACTTATGCCACGCTTGGTTTGTGCCAGGTCCGTGAGAGCTGCCTGGAAAGTCCCGACCGGACGACTGACACCCTGCTTGCCTGCTGTTCCCGAGAGCCTCGGCCCTGCGATTTGTTCCTACCTGGATTTTAACGTCTTGGGCAAGTCTCTGGGTCTCTGCCTGGTGGACCTGTCTCAGCCTCTCCTTTTCCTCCTCGTGTCCTTGAAGGATTTTTGCAATCTCCGTCCTCTGCTCCTCCAGCCATATGGCTTTCTCCTTCCCGTCTCCAGGCCATGGGGTGGCATGGGCTGCAATCAAACGCTGCTGAAACACGGCCAGATCCCGCGAACCCGGCAGCCGACCTGCCGGCAGCTTGGTGGCCCAGGTTCAAGCCCTCTCTGTCCTGTCCCTACTGGAGAAATATCACCCCTCTCCCCACCCATTGCAAGCCCAAATTAGTGCTAATTGGGACGGCGTTGGCAGGCTCAAAGAGGACGTAGCCCAGCACCTCGTTAGGCCTCCTGCCTTGAGGATAACCCATCTACCCAGGATGATTGCGTGCAACCGTCTGCTTCCCCGTGCCACAGCCAGGTTGAAGTTTGAGTCATCATCCCAGTGGCCTCCTGGCTACTGGTACTAACTGCTGTCTTGTTGGGTCAATTTTACTGCTTTTAAAGATGCAAAAGAGCCAAGAAAGCATGGGGTGGGAGGGGGAGCCACAAACTTGCTTCTCACCATTCTCTGTCTTCAAGGCTGTCAGCTCCTTGGAAGCTGTTCCCTTCGGCTGCTGGGGTTTCAGCTGTCTCTGGAAGAGAGAGGAGGCCTGGTCCCGCGCCACGCCGAGATGGAAAAACAACTGCC